TTCTGGCCAGTCCCTCCAGTACGTACCCTCATTCACAATGCTACTTCTTTCATTGCTTCTATTTGGACTGAAGCAGCCGGATGACCCCAGGTAAGATGACAAGTGCTCCTCAGCTGTTTTTTCCCCATGGTAGGGGTTTGTCTACCCTAAGGAGTGCAGCTGGTGTTTCTAGTGGTCGTCACGGCCACTGACACCAGGATCTGTTAGGAAAGATTGCCAGATATTGCATTTTATGGTTTGAAAACTGGATAAAAGGCTTTAAAAAGACAAATACGAGGAGCAGGAGACGGGTTTACAAAGGTGCTAGGAAGGGATAAGTTGGAAAGAAACCAACATGAGGCAGTGAGAAGGAAAGGAGGGAATATGTGGGGAAGGCAGACAAACGCGCTAGGCAGGAAACCAAGTGAGGGGAGAAGGTGAAGGAGGAAGCAACCAGAATGGTTGAGAAAGGGACAAGAAGGGGTGTGCAGAAAAAGGGGAAAACAAAAGAGTGATAAAGGAGCCAGTGGAGGAGGGGGGAAAGCAGAACTCCTTTCTAATAGATAACAGAAAATATAATCTCCTGCTTGAAGCAGCCAGCAGCAAAAGAAGCCTATTACTGGGTGCACATTTCAACAAGAACTTTAAGTCAGAAGATCCATTCAGAACAGGCAGATGGATACTGCTGTTGGATGGACTTATACCCCTATCCTCAGGTGTTCAGACTAAGATCATCCAACTCAGCAAGAGGATGCTTTAAGGTGGGCACTTACTCATTCCACCATAAGATTCTATGACCCTAAAAGTTTGAAGAAATAGCTATTTGATTATTATTTATATTCCCTTAAAAAAAAAAAAAAAAAAGTAGCAAGCCTGCCTTTAAGACTGCAAGGTCAAACTCTCCGAGGGAGATTCCCAGACTAACGAAGGAAAATCCTTCTGGCCTTATATGCCAATATTTTATGACAGACTTTAATCAGAGGACCTCATGCAATTTTTGCAAGGGATCCCCTCATCGTTCAAGACACAGGGTTATGCATTCCATTAAATCTTTCCAAAGAACTCTTAATTCAGAAAATCTATTGCAGAAAACTTACTTCATGGTTGGTATTTGGCAACCAAAGGGCTGACTACAGAGCCTGCAGACCAGGAAATGCCAGGCAGCGATGCTTTCTGCAATACATCCGACTTTGGGATTTTCTAGCTGTAATTACTATCAAGTATAAGCACTTTTTTACATTGGGCTGGCAGAAATTCTAATTTATGTTGCAAGCCATCATTATGTAACAAACATAATAGGTCACGTAATTAGCCTCAGTGACATAACAAAATGTAGCTGCACAGTAGCCATCACCCCTCCCGTGCTGCCTGGCTGTGGATAGACCTGAATTGTAGGAAGGCAGACAAAAGAGAGGTATAGAGAGCATGGGACCACTGGTGAACAGCACGACAACATGAATTCTCTTTCTGCTGCTTGCCTCCCGTATAAAGATCATCCTGAGCCCCAGGGACTGTGCGCCACCAGCCCTGAGCACAAGACACATAAGCTCAAAAGCTCTTCTGTTCCTGCCTGCTTGAGTGGATGCTGCAGCCCTCTGAGACCCTTCGGTAGCCAGGTCCCAGGGCTCCCCACCGAGCAGGGTCATGTATTTTTTAATGGCAGAGGTCAGCATTTCACTTGGGAGGCCTCACAAAGCCACAGGAGCAGGAAAGGGGAGCACCCTCCTACCCCCACTAGCACCAGGGGCTCTGCTGCCAGGAGAAACAAACATTTCCAATTCAATTGTTCTTCTCGTGGCAAAGCTGAGATTCCCATTCAGGACATTTAAAAGTCATAAATCGAAGCATCCCCAGCAGAACTAAAATTGATCAAGATCAGGCTCCCCAAGCAGGCAGGCAAACGCACATCACGGTAAGCGGAGGTGGCTTTAGTGCCTGCCTCAAGCCGCCTTACCAAAGAGAGCACACAGCTGCATTTTCTTTCAAAATACTACTGCAGCCTTTTAAGAGAGAGAGGGAATAATCTAAATTCTGGCAGCGGGGAATATTTCACAAATCATATATGCTTTGGCATCAAGCCCTTAACAAAGCCAGGGGCCTTTACTCACAGGCTTTGCTGGGAGAGATCCACCCACCTCAAGTGGGATTAATTAAAAGAGGCATGTATCATGCAAATAGTTTCTGTTTCCTTACAGAAATATTCAGAGCACATAACCCAAACCAGCTTTAGAATCAGAGCAAAGCAAGGAAGAAAATTATTTCCTGCTCCCCTAACCCTTTTCCTTTCCCTGTACAGTGAGGGAGGAACAGTGAGAAAAGGCAGAGAGCTCGCAGTTTCTGCCCAGCTCCTCTGATTGACTCCTTCTGCACAACTCCCCAACCAAAGCTGGGGGGGAAAAAAAAAGATTGTTTTAAAGGCAGGGGCTGTATCTCACTATATCACTATAAGGTGGCAAATTCCCCAAAAAAAATGTGTATTCAGCCACTTGTTGGAACAGGATGGTCTAAATCTTACCTCTGGAAATAGTCTTTTTTATCTTAAAGCAGAACATGAGAAAATAGAAAGTTTCTACTTATTCAGCCTGTCAGGATTTTCAGTTTCACATGACAGTGATGGGGACTGCAAAACAGAGCTCCTCTGGAAAGCTAGACAAACTTTAAAAACACAACTTTCTTTTCAGGAAGCTTAACTACTCCCTAGACAGGGCAGATCCTGACACTTCAAGGAATCGTCGCAGAAAGCGGTGGCACAGCACTCAGAGCACAGAGCCTCAGTTCAAAAATAAGTCACAGAGAAGCTCAAGTTTCCACAAGAGCTCTTCCTTAAAACTATTTTTTTTTTCCTTTTAATATCTCAGACCCATTTTCTGAGTCAATTTCCTATGATCCTGCAAAGGCTGTTATTAAAACCAGACCAAGTGAAGCAGAAATTCCAGGGCTCCCAAGAAGTTTTAATAGGCGCAGGAGCCTGCCACACTGTCCCCCTCAGGTGGTTTCCCCTGCAGCCCCTTCCCTGGGATTTCCTCTCTCCGAGTTTAGTCAGCGGGAGAAACCTGAAGTTTCAGCAAAACACCAAACCCCTCCCGCATTCTTAAGTATCTCAGATTTTTGTGTCTGAGGCTTTCGTAGCTCTAAAAAAAAAAAAGACAACTAGGATCCAGTCCAGAAGATGCGTATTGCAGATATTTTTTCCACAAAAATGTCAGGCAGTTGTACATTGAATTATATACCCAGCTTCATCATTTTCAAAGCACTGACCTTCTTTATCAGCCACTGCTTCGCATGCCACCAGTGGCAGGCATGAATTGAGCCGTTCACAGGCTGCTTACCCAAGTGTCTTTTGTGAGCTAGGCCATTCCTTCCCGGTCTCCATCCTACCTATCACTTTAGCATCAAAAAAGATTATCATCAGACATGCTCTTGGCAAGCCACCTCAGGAAAGCAACGCTCATGCAAAACTCACAGCCAGGCAGGACAAAGGAGACATGCTCATTCGCAAGGCAACGTGCGACGCGCCGGGGAGCTGTGGTTCTTTCCAGTAGTACAACTGACCGAACACCGGACCTCGTATTTCTGTAGCTGGGACGTGGTTTGTCCAGTGGTGGCACAGTGGAAGCACTGGTGCCAGTGCCCTTCAAGCTCTTCCAGTGGGGGACCCTAACCTGGACTTCTTCCTTTTAGTATCCCCAAAGGCAATTCTGTGTTTCTTCCTACTGCAAGCTATGGGGCACTCACTGTGATGAAAGAAATTGGTTCATGATTGGGCACTGATGCAATGCCCTTTTCATCGGAAATTATACATATAGAAAACTCCATTCATTTGATACGCCTCATTTGTTTACTCTTTATATTGTAAACATGATGATGATATACATGTGTTCAGCTGAAGAGCTGCTTCAGAACTGGCATTCACCCTCAAACTGGGATATGCATCTTCATTTTATACAATACAGAAATTATTATGTTAGAAATAGCATCAAATTTAAGTTGTTCCAACTACAACATATCTCACCTATTTAAAATAAAGCATTTAGGAGTTTTTCTACAAAGGTGGATTAGATTTATTTTCCATTGCTATTTCTAAAATTGAAAATGTGCCTATTTTCTTTTTGTTTCTGTTTAATTGGCTTTTTTTTTCCTCCAAACCGACTAATTCTAATCTAAGAGTTAATTTATAAAAAATGGAGAAAGATCTTTGTTCCAGCATCACCTAATCTGCCCATGCCTCTCACAATTTAGGAAGTTAACGAAGCCCATGGAATCAGAGCCTTTTGTATATATGAATCATTAAGTGTATTATGTCATAATGAAAATAAATATTAAGGACATTTTATTCATATAACTTATGTTAAAAAAACTAGTTAGTGCCACACAAAGTTATAAAATATGCAAAGCTAAAAGTACTGACAAATGCAAAGACCTCAGGAGGAAAAGAAATGTGATTGTGAAAATGCTGTTCCTTAATCAATCATTTTGTGCTCGTGACCTACATCCTACGACCTACACCGTTAGATAGCTCTGGACCATCTTCAACTGGCTGTAAATTTTTTGGCTTACAGAACAAAAATCCTACTCCTATCAGTTTGTTCCACTGATTCTACAAGGACTTGCTCTTGTTCCCTCCCCGAAGAGCTATTACATGCTCTGGTGAGCACTCAAAATGGCAAAAGTGAGTTATTTTTTTGTACCACTGCCCATGTTCTGGTGGAGGGCTAGAGAACTTCTTGTCTCTGTGAACACCTCATGTGGATACAACGCAACCAGAACAGGGGTTCTCAGTGTAATATAAGCCAGTTTCTTTGAACTGACTGGAAAAAAGTTCCTATCTTTTCAACAAGTCATATTTGTATTAAAAATTGCTTCCTTGGAACGCCTTTGACTCTCTGCAGGGAATATACGATTTTGCTTTGTTACAGGACTTACTCAACAACCGTGCTTGCCTCCGCTACGTTGTGCACAATCTGTCTGTTATGCTAGAGGAAGAGAACCATGCCCACCACAAGAAAGCTGAGCCATCTTACCTTGGGACACTGGGAGGAGCCCGTGTTGGCCGAGAGGGAACCTGGGGAGGTCCTCCATGGGCTTCGCCACCGCTTGGAAATGGGGGCAATGGTCCTGGGCGGAACGGGACCGGGGGAGCCCCTGACTGAGGGCCTGGAGATGGGATTGCAGGAGCTGGTCCTCGGCCAGATAAAGGTCTGGTTGGGGGATTATTTAACGTAGGCCTCCTCTGAGTTGAGGGACTTGGAGGAGGAGATCTAGTGAAACATCAGATATTTAAGACATTCAGTGAAGTGACACTTTTTGTTTTAAAAAAACAGAAAACTTTTTTTTTAATGTCACCATATACTTTTTTCCTTTGCATTTCTTTTGCTGACAGTGCCAGAGCATCACATATACTAAGATCTAACATATCGCATTCCCACAGACAGCATGCCTTAAGACAGTCAGAAATAAACAGTCAAAGAGGTAAATCTAATGGGTTTAATTATCAGAATCCTAACAAAGTTATGTTAAATGGATTGGCTATGGAGCCTGAAGTGCTGAAGTGTTACAACAGCTTGCAAGAAGAGGTCTTAGGGTTAATTTGCAAAGATAGGTGGGATTGCTGGAACAAGGAAAAAGCATTATACTCCTACAGAAACCAAAACAGTATTTGCTGACAGGAATGGCTGCTATCTGAAGCATCAGACAAGCTGTAAATCCCATGGATGGTCTTCTAACAGGCAAATACCTTGTCTGGTGTTCACACACATATCCATAGAACATGCATATGTGGCAAAAGGTTTGTAAAAAATCAGCAGAGAAATGGGGCCATACAGCATACATACAGGTTCACATCTGTTCTGGGGCTCAACATTCGGATTTCTGGATTTAGCTTCCTGATAGTACAATATGGTAGAACACAAAGCTCCTGACGTTTTAGGAAGGATGCAGCTCGCTGAAACCTGAACTACAAGGAGCCTTTTCTCCAAGCCAGTCTTTAACAGAATACAGAATACTGGGAAAGAAGGTGGGTGACTTTACTAAGAGTTCACGGGTATTTAAGGTCTATCTTGCTCCAGAAATTCTTGGCAACATACAAGAAAAGAAACATATGCGCATGTTCTTCATCCCTAAAATACTTAAAGCAACACAAAACATCTAGATAACAGCAAGATTTTCTGATTCCCCTCCCAAATGTCATTGAAGACCTGGAGGAATGCCCAAAGAGATGGGTAAAGAGGGAGCTGCTGATGCTAACAACGTCTGCGCATCTGAAATTTCATTACAAAGCAGATATGAAGATCCTTACCTGCGGGCCTGCTGGAGCCATGAATCATCTACAGGAGGTGGTGCAGGGGTTGACACGGTGCTAGTGCTGATATCGCCAATGATCGCTAGGGCTTCCTTCAGAGCTTGGTACATTCGAAGCATTTCATCTCGCCTCTGTGCCTGTTCAGCTGACTCTTCCATTAGAGTGTTTTGGTCCTCAGAAGAATACAAGTGAGCCAGGAGCTCTGCGTTGATAAATTCTTTGACCTATTTCATCAGACAAAACAAACAAACAAACAAAGCAAATTACAGTACTGAACAAGTACAGATCCATAGAACCAGGAGAGAGACCTACCTAAACTTCATTTGTTTCTCCTGCTACCTTGTTTACATCAATGCTATCGGTATTGCAGCTTTTGTTAGGTCATATCAGGGACTAAAAATGATGAACTCACGTTGGGCTGATCGTACAGCAGCCTGAAGGTGAGCTCTAACCCAAGGAAAGGCTGGCACACACAGCTGGGCAGAGCAGCTGCCTGCACGTAGATGGTTTTAATGCAAATATGAAGCCACATTCTGAGACTGCTATTCACATCTGAGAATAAGATGGTTTTGTATAGTCCCTCCACATGAACTGTGGCCTTTTTTTTTTTTTTTTTTTTATTTCTGTCTTTGAAAGATTAGACATGGTCAGAATTAACACTGGTCAATGTCTCTAAAGTGACACCTATGTTTACAATTCAATTTCAAGTCTTCCCAGTGGCTCCCACAAGTCAGCTAGCATTTTGGTCCCATACTAAATGGCTGACCCAGAGGTAAATGTCAGCCATTAGCATACCATCAGGTACAAAATTCCCTTGGGAATGGGAATTTTCAGGCTTTATAGCATCTTTGTCAATTATTTTCTTAGCAACAATTCACCCTGCTGTAGATGGTGTCTTTCATCTCCAACAACTTTGTCAAATTCTAAATATCCCATCCAAACACATTCAAACTGAAGGGAGAAGGCTCCAAGTAATCTAATTTACTATATTGATTTCCTGCTATGCCTGCCCTGGTTATGGAAACCTGGGCCACATTATGAGAGATAAAAAGCTAGAGGTACTCTGATTAAATAAGACGCTGGTAAATAGACCAACTGCTGACCTACTAAATCCTTGCATTCAAACCTTTCATTGCTGTTCTGATCTATTTCTCATCTGGCTTTTTGCTCTATAAAGCTCTTTTTGAGCTGGAGATGCTAACAATAATACATTCCCGAGATTCTGATTACATAAACCTGAGCTCCACTTGCACAGGGGTTTGTGCTAGTTGATCTAAATCCTGACAACGAGACTATGGCAGTGCTTGCATTCACACGAGGTCAATTAAGAGCTGTTAAACTGCACAGGTGCAGGACCCTTTCTTGTCACTTAATGATGAAAAGAAGCCAGGACAGACCTTACAGGGAAACACACCATACTGCCTGAGCTTGGCTGTCATTTCCCATTCACGTATGACAGGAGATGCACAAACTCTTAGCAAAGCCTGCAAAAATTTTCCATGAGTCTCATGCTGTTTTCCAGTAGATGGTACTGATCAAGAGCCAGAGTACACTACTTTCCTCGTGATTGCCAAAGACTCCACATTAAAAACAGATATCGGAGTTAAACAGCATCACATTCTACTCGATGAAATGAGCATTTTAATGGCATCACTTCAAAAAAAAGAAGTCCTAAAATTAGATTAAGGCCAGAGCTGATTGTAAAAGCATTGTTAAACCACAAGTATCTGTTTGAAAAAAAAAATAAAAATCATCCTGTGACAATTATCATGAGAGATCCCTGCCTGCCACTAGCACAAACTCAAGAAACTCCCTGAACCCTTCTGGAAGGGAAGGCTGCTGCGGTAAAGACAGTTCTGGAACCAAATCTCCTTCCTTCTGCAAGTGGATGCACTTTACAAGATAAAGACCTTCCATGATGGCCACTTTCTCCAGCTTGGGAAAGAAAGGGAAAGTGACACTTCTTCATGCCTTTGCTCAAAAATAAAAACAAACCCCAAAACACAGAACAAAACACAAATACAGAAAAATACAAAGCAAGGGTTTAAAATGTTTTCTTTTGCAGACATCAGACCTGCAGTCAAAGCTGAACCACAGCCAGCATCCAGAGCACCAATACCACAAAGCTTGCCCTGTCACCCTGTCCAAATGGGGTGAGACGGGCTTGCAAGGAACCTTCATTTATCAGTGGGCAGACTACAACAGACATCAAAGTCTCAAACGCAAAAACAATCTGTTCCTTAACCTTAAGGTTGGTAGTAACAAATACTTGATCATTTTTCTACTCAGCTGCGATTAATATCAACACTGCTTGTGGAGCATACGTTGTCTACTCCAAGACCACCCCTCTTGAATAATCTGTGATACCTAGGCACCATGAAATAATGCTGAAAATTCTGAAATGTGTGCTTTGTTTGTGCGTGTTTAAATTTCTAATGGTAACTCAATGCAGTTCCGTGTGGTAAATGTATTTTCTTTTAAGGTAATCAACATCCACCCTAAGGGAAGAATAAGGGATGCATTTGGAATACAACGGTCTAGTTTTAGGTCTCAAAACATGCTGAGGGACACATCTAATTATTTTCTGTACACTGAGTTTGAACCTGATACTTCCCCTTGAATTATAAGTGCTCGTTTACAGGCCCACAAAGTGGAAAGGAAGTTCTAGGAGGACTTGGGAGGTTACAATTGTCATGGAAACAAATTCCTTGGGATCAATTTGTTCCTGGAGTTTTGGAAGCAACATGATGGAGCAGCAGAAAGTACAGAATATGATCAGTAAGGGGGAGGGAGGATATTTTCACTTAACTCCAGGTGGATGGGTAGGACTTTTGAAGACTCCAAGGAACACGTGCACTACTTAACGGGACCCACCTTCCCTCACAGCACCACTGCTTTTCAGGTCTTTGCACAACCTTTTGGCTTGGCTCAACAGTCTTCATTCGAGCATTTCTTTCTTTCTTTTTTTTTTTTTTTTTAATAGTTCTGATTTTTTAAAACTCAGATTTTGTGTTTAGTGTGGTATTTGCTGCCTACGCTGCAAAGAAACTAGTGCAGAAACGTTTTTAGTTCTTCACGGTCTTTTTAAAAGTTCTGGCTCTTTGCCAGAAATTGAAATTCTAGGATTGAGGTGTAGGGCTTAGCTCACTGGCAAGCCCAAACACAGCTATGGACTATGAGGTCAATTGAAAGGCAGGTGATGCGGTAAGGATGCTGTTTCTGTGTGCCACACTCAACCAGCATGGCAGACTTGACCAGCATAACAGCTGATGAGATTGGAAGTACAAAATCTTACAGTATTCTCCTCCTGAGTAAAGCAGCACTTCAGAGACCCTTAAGCTATTCCATATGAGGAGGTGAGTGGCAGAAAATTTAATGTAAACGTTCAAAAGTATCTGCTCACTGAACTCTACAGCTTATGAAATGAGAGCTGAAAAACAGCCCTTTCTAAAGGCACCAAAGTTGTGCTAAGTCGAAGCAGCAAGTTGAAAAAAACTTGCAGAAAAAGAAAGAAAGCAGAGGGAACTTGCTCACCTTACAAATTTGAGACCATGGCTGATTTCAGGATGTGTCTGTGTATGGGACAGGAACAGGCAGCTCCATCATTCCTGTACTCTTCTGCACAAACTCACCCAGGACTAGAGCACAATTTGGGGTTGGACTTCCCTAAACCTGAAGAAGTTAACGGAGTCTCTGTTGTCCTCTTCCAAATATTCCGCTCGTATTGTATGTCCCTGGAAATCCCACTGAAATTTCCTGTCCAAACACCTAAGTGCAACACAAATTCTACAAGGCTAATGAAATCCATCAGACTAAGGCTAGAGGTGGCTCCAAGTCAAACATAAATGCTCCTTTCTAACCAGATTTGTGTTACAACACATTGTATTTGTAACAACTGATCGGTTGGATGACCTGAGAGACCACAGAAAAGGCACTATACATAACTAATAGGATCTCTGTGCTCCACTATTAATTCACGTGGCAGCAACGGCTCTAATGGCAAGCTCAGTTCAACGAGGTCCATTCAGAACTCTGCCAAAAAATGAAGGCTGAGATCCTAGTACAGTGGAAAAACAATGATATCTCAAAGCCATTTCTTTAACCAAATAATCTTCAGATCTAAGAAAGACACACACAATAAATCAAACAACCACATCAGCTTATGTAAACAACAGTGTCCAACGCTTCCAGATTTATTCCTTGAAAATGGCAATCTGAAAATATAAAGGAACCCAAATAAAATACAAACTTCTTTAAGAAACCATGACAAAGGGTTACAGACTGAAAATCAAGGAAGCACAGCTCTGCTGCTCTCACAGACTGCCTAGATGGAGCTACCAACCCTTTTTTTTCCTACTATATCAAAAGCAAAACAGAGAAAAGAAAAGGATCCTTGGTTTACCTTTAAATAACAATTTATATTCTTATTAAGACATAAATGAATGCAACTTTCAGCGTGCTGGAATAACCTCCCAGAACACTGTGCCAGACTTTCAGAAGGCTGCAGGACATCATACTACTAAAGAAGAGTGGAATATTTTGTTTTAGAATGTGACATTTATGGCAGGGTGTTCTCTTTAATACGTGCTGCTTTTGCTGCTCTATTCAAGAAATGTGTTTGTACGAGCAGAAGAGATTTGGCAGACGCAAAATAATTTAGAACCTTGGCTGTTGCTTACATTATTGATCATAAGGTGCATGATTGTTTTCGGTATCAAATCGCGGATGCATTTGTTGATAATAGACATGTAGGAGTCCACTAGGTTTCGAATCGTCTCCACCTGCCTCTCCAGCTGGGGGTCCATTGAAAAATTGTCTGCTTGGCCGTTCTCATCATTTTCAGTCTGCACGGAAGAAAAAAGGAAAAGTCTTTCGGACTGAAGCAAACTGGAAAAATATTGGGAACAAAATGGATTTAAACTGTAACAATCCAGCAACACAACTCATACAAAGAATGACTGGAAGTTAAAATACAAAGTACCTACCTGTTTAACATTAGTGTTTTAACATTATGAAATATGGAATTTTAGAGGTTAATGCAATATAAGAGGCAAGCTTGTTTTCACAAAGAGAAAATTATATATTATATATATTTCGATTATATATTTCCACACAAATTGTAATTTTATGTTAAGGAACATTTTTGGACGAAGGTGTGTGGAGGTAAATGATACCCCAAGAAATTATCTCACATCACTTGCTGCAATATTTATTAACAATTTTTATTATTTTTCACCATTCCGATTTAGCCAGCCTGACTCACGCAATAAAGTAGTGCTGTAAGTCTGGATATTGAATTTTACCCTCCTATGGGTAAAAAACATCGCTGTTTCTTAAGGCTGACTCAGTTGTGACAAATTCTGCAATTCAGCCTGAATTTTTTTAGATGTGAATAGCACCTATATAAACAAAGGATTTATGATGGATAACAGCAAAACCATCATCGGTTCCAGTGCTCAAGGCTCAGCATAACATAGGCTGGTTTATATATTAGAGATTTCTTTTTCATTGGAGAGAAAAAAAACATCTTTGTATGTAAACAGCTGACCTAATTAAAGAAAATACCAGGAACTTTGACTGGGAGCTAAAAGGTATGCACTTTGCTTCAGTTTGGCCTGTACAAAACCAAGGAAACTTAAAAATAAAAGAACAGTATCCCTTTGGCAAAAATCAAACCGCTTTCCGAGGCTCAAAGACGCCAAAAGAATTAAATTTCAACCTGGAAAGTCAAAAGAACAATGTCCTTTCCACAAACTCTGACATATAATACTTCTCCCTGAAAACGAAGAAAATGAGCACTTAAGCCATACGAGCATGGACTATAAAATCTAAACCCATTCTGTGGGTAGCTGGAAGCATAACACAAGGAAGCAGAAATTATGTGCAAAAACGAATAAACTAGTAACAAAAACTAGTTATATACCAGCCAGACTTACCGCTATCAGCACAACGCCTTTTACAACACAGCATTTAGCTGAAATTTCCACATCACTGGCACTTTACCGACTCCTTGACCCGTTGAAATTCATTGCCAGCCCATTAGTAAAAGACCACTGGAGCTAGAAGAGCACCAAAGAGGCCTCTCCTTGCACAAAAAGCCATTCGTACGGTTTCATGTCCTAATGCTCATGCAGCATTAGCAGGTAGATCACATCTGATTTCCTTCTTATAAACCGTGGCTTAATCTGTCTGATGTAAGTGAAATTATGACAGTTGTTTGTTAACTCCTAATTTTATTATGACATAAGATGCAATGTACCATTTAAAAACAAAATTAAGTGTGTGTAAAAGAGCAGGTTCTAATAGCCTCAACGGATCAGATTGTTCTTAATCACAGATGAATTACTGGAAAAACAGCTAACCTAAAGACTTGAAAAATAATCAGCGGTGCTTCCTAAACATTTTGGGACTGTGGAGGATGCTGGAAGAGCTCTTGATGAAAATGCTTTTCAATTCTGTAACGACAGTAGACACACTACCCTATAGACCTTAATCATTCTGTTAATAACCTTCACATGCTGAAGTGTCACAGCATGCAGATTATGTTCCTTAGTCTCCACGTTTGAAACTAAACTAGTTGAATTTTCCTTGTGAAATACCAAATAAATGGAAAATCATATGCCTATCATATAACCACAGATCTTAGGCAAGTGATTGCAGGCAGAAAATTCCCCGTTGCCAGTTGCCACGGATTTGTATTCTCTTTCTTTTTGCCTTTGTTGTCTACATGAAGTACAGTTTGTCCGTGTATTTTTAATTCTTCGGTGTGTTCCCCCCCTCATTTAAATTACAGATTGCAATGGGATTCGTAGCTGGCTGAGCAGCGAAGTGACAGATGTTTATCATTATCCTCATCAAGAGAATGTAAAGTAAAAATAGTAATTTGTCTCTGATCTTTAAGGCAAGGGGTAATAAGTCTGCAAACATTTAACCTTTTACATACAGGCTCATAGGTGACATTTACAGAAAGTGGCTAATACTTCAGGAGTCCACATCTTGTTTGAAACTGTAATAGAGCTGAGCACATACAGCTGATTTATTTTGTCTAAAAATCAAGAAAGATCAATCTTTCAAGAGTTTACAGTAATTTATTGCAAAAGCTTTCAGCCTTAGTATTCTTAAAGACTTGCCATCTCAGCTGAAGGCTTGTCATGCTAGAAACCACCTTGATGTGAGCATTTTTCATACACCAGAAATGTTGCTTCTAACAGATCTCCCTGCTACTGTAGCAAACCGATAAAATTTATCAGGTTTTTCTCTGTGCCAACATTTGAGAATGAGGCTGCCTGGTAATGCTGGGCATCACAAGATAGAAATGATGCAGACACCCTATTCTACATACATTTTGTTCTTTCAGAATTTTGAATTAACACCTACTAAATGGACAGCTGCTTTCCACAATCTTCCTTGGAAAATACCGTAACGTGCTGAGAAACGAGCGCTTACAGGCTGAAAATTTGCTAGTGTAGTGAGGAGCAAGGAAACCCAGCCTTGCAGGAGCTCTCTGGCATGTTCTCCTGGTGCACATCCAGTGCCCAGGTAACCGGGCAGCCGCACAACCCTGCCACCACCTCCAAACACTGTCCAGGCCTTCTCTTGATGAACAGCAGCGCTTCCTGCACGTCCCACAGCATGCTGGCATATGCTGGAGAGGAGGCCAAGAGATACCCACCTCAGCATGCTGAATGGAACAGGAGAATCAAAGCTGAGAGTGCGTTTCTATGCCTCCTTTCCACAGGCACGGAACAGCCACAGGCCCCTTTCAGTGGTCCTCATTCTTGAGCTAGAACTTGCTGATCCCAAGAGCAAGTGTTAAGCATCAGCTATGAATCAGATACGAATCTGGGGTATTTTCAATCAGTTGGCTCTTAATACTGCTAATAACTGTTGTCAGGAATGGAATATTATTATTTCAAATCAACACAACTGCAGTTACTTTAGGAACTTCTATAAACCTACAGCAAAGAGACTATGGGAGAATCGAGAGCTAGAAATCAGGTAAAGAAAAAGAGATTAATCTGGGAAAAGCAAAGCTCAGAATACGTGATGAAAACACAAAAAAGGTACAGACAAACAATAGGTGAAACAACACAGGAGAAGGTAGCATGGAAGCCAGGATGGTGCTTTTGTTCATACACATGTATGCATTGCCAGACATAAGGAGACAGTCCTGTCTACTTTCTCTGCACTTACAAAAGTGAAAATAAAACCTATTCCTGATACTCTGCAGCAGGTCTCACCTTTCTTTCATAAGCTGCCTTATGATCCTTGCATGAAAAGCTGCTAGCAAAACATGAAGCCTGCATCATTGCTACTGTGCTAAAAACACCCTTCTGTACTAAAAACGTAGTAAGGATTAACGTGTCACACAAGAGAAGCCTAAAAATTGCATGTGAAATTCAAACCACTTCAGTTTGTGGGCATTTTCGTGCTGGCTGCAGTGGGAAAGGATTTCACCCTCCATGTGCATTGCTGCCAGAAGAGTTATCAGTCTTCTCAGGACTGAAAACTTCCTGGTGCAAGAAGAATGACTTCACGTGATGCAAAAGGAAGAAGGCGGACGTCATTACACGCAATCCTAAAAAAGGAATAGTACTTCAGAATATCAGGATAATTTTTCTGATTGAGGGAATTATAAGCACGTTGCAGAGTGGCCCAAGAAAATTTCAGGAAAAGTAATTCCTTTCGAAATTCACAGCAAAACTGGGTAACGCACTGAAAACAGTCCTGAGCTGGCCACACAGAGAGAGCAATACTTCTAATTTCCATGATTTCATTACACTCAGGGCAGCTGCCAGCATATTTAAGAATGTCTTGTATAACATTCCTGATGTCAGTTCCAAGAAGGAGCATTTGTCTAGCATTTTCATTAGAGCAGTGTATCAACCAATTTTATGTAATCAAAAAGGCATTCCATTAAAAATGACTGAGAGGAAGCAGACGGGAAGGTGACTGGCGAAAGGGTAAAAGCCAAAGCAGCAGCAAACCAGTGCTCTGTACGCTGTGAAATAAATCCACGACTGCTGGGAGAAGCCCATCATTTAAAAGCTACTTTCCTATCTTTTATCTACAAATGCAAGTTTATAACAACAACCTGAAAATGAGTCATTCCCTCCAGACTGCATTTACGTTTGAATTTACAGCTGCTGAACCTGTTTTAGCTATTCCTGTCCAAGCAGGGCTTTTCTTTAATGCACCAACACTTAGGAAATTGCAGTTGTCCTAACCTCCTGCCTTTTCTTAAGTCTCTTCAACCGATTCCTGATACTCTCTCCTCATTTTCGTCTGAAGCTGTAGATACAATTCAGCTGAGAGGCTCTCCGTTGTACACAGTGTGCCTTTGCCAGAGGACTGCTGAAACCACATGACGGCTTCACACAGTGAGGTTTTCTTACTGGAAGGAACCACAAGTAAATGACAATACATTATTTTTGTGCATTTACAACAAAGCCAGCAGCAGCAGCAGAACATTTCCCGGGCAGCTTGGAAGCTGGCCTTTTCCCTCGCAGAGGGCAGCTTTGCCACTCTCTTCATGCTTTCAGCATCTCCTGCCTGGGAACTGCTGTTGCCTTTACTGAGCCACCCACGGGCTGCCCCTTTCAGCAACGATGCTCTCATTAGCAGCCTTGAACTGCTCCAAACAGAGGTTAGGATCCCGCTTTCCCTTCCACACGATCCGACTCACTTTGTATCCGTGCAGAAGACAGCCGCAGCCGAGCTCGATTTGGTTCAGAGTATGTAACTGGCTGGATTTGTTTCAACAATCATCTACTTGGGTTCTTCTTTGTGCTCACAGACATTGTATAGCACAGACCATTAGCTAAAACCTTCTGCTGAATCCACA